TATTATTTTGATAGATTTAACTTTTAGTTTTCCTACTTAAGATACAAGTGATTTATACACTGCAGTTACAGCACTAGAATATTCTGTGTTTGTGTAGTTACTATAACCAGTGAGTTCTATACCTTCAGATGTTTTCTTATGGTGCATTAATGTCCTTTTCTTTCAGATTGAAGAACTCTTTTTAGCATTTCTTAAAAGGCAGGTCTGATGTTAATGAAATCCCTCAGCCATAAGAATTCCTCAAGGACCACAGTCTTTGTGGTCTGACTGCTTTATGATTTTATTTCAGACCCCAGGCCACTTTTTGTCAACTGGTGGGAGGGCTGGCTGGAACTCCAGTTTCTACCCTAGGGTGGAGGATTTCCCTTTGAGTAGGCTGGTATAATTACTCTATCTGTCCGTGGGTGCCAGCAAAGCTCTGCTCTGTGCTGCGTTCCCTTGTGACAGGGTAGCCCTGAGTTCCAATGCAAAGTCCCATGGTCACTGCACTCTCACTCTCTCAGGCACACAGATTCCCTCCACCCAGTGTGGTGCCACCAGGGATGGGAATGGGTGGCATAGACAATGAGAAACCATCTTTTATGCCCTCTTCAGCGCCTCTCTCCCTGACAGAATGTTAAAAGCAGGTCCTGTGATCACTCACCTGATATTTAGTTCTTCTAAAAATGCTCCCTTGAGGAGCCATTTGTTGAATTTGGTGTTTGTGCAAAGGGATAATCGCTGGAGATTTCTACTTGGCCATCTTGCTCTGCCCACCTCCCTGTTTTTAGGTGAGAACTTGTTTAAGCCAAAACAGGGACCATAAATTGAAGAGTGACAGTGGCTAAGTATATAATTGAATGAATAAAGGAGACTAGTAAAGAGAGTTGTTTTCCTTGAAGCAAGAAGTTCTGGCTCGGTGCCTGTGGCTCAAGTGGCTAAGGCACCAGCCACATACACCTAAGGTGGCAGGTTCGAATCCAGCCTGGCCCACCAAAATAACAATGAAAGCTGCAACCAAAATAATAGCTGGGCATTGTGGCGGGCGCCTGTGGTCCCAGCTACTTGGGAGGC